TTGAATATATGATTCAATGTATTTGCGTAGCAGCAGTGAATTATGTTTTGTTAACACTTCGTAGAATAATATCACAACCTGGTGAAGATGAGATGATTGTATGAATGAATAATTGCGCCCAAGATAAGTCTTAATTCACTATTCAAATTGGTCCTAAGTTTCTAAGTTCGGCCACATTCCTCTGTGGCTTTTACTGACACATATGGATTGCAATTAGTGTATGGTTAGTAAAGATTACCATTACCAGTCACCCGTGGATAAGCTTCATGTAAATGCTTCACACCAAGGTATATATTGTTGAAGGAATAAAACAAAACTCACATATTACTGTTACATGTTCTTCTCGGCCTTGACCAGTTACAAAAACTACAGCAGTGATTGTACCTATAATGGCTGTCACGCCTAACGTTGCTGCTATAGTGCCGAATATACCTGCTGGTGTACATGGGCAACAGAGGTTTTTCTGAAATAATAACGTCCGTGTTTACATGTAGTATCATTTGTATTTTGCAAACGTTTATTGATTGAATAGATATGAATATGTTGTTTTGTGTAGGATCATAATAAAATGTGTTATGATCACAAAGCATATACATGTTTGTTTTTTTCCAAGAACAGAGCTCGGTTATGTATATGCTATCATCTGACTACGAGGAGTCTTCTGCGATATATCTTTTATTTTGTAAAGACCCTATGCCTCTTGGCAAATGCGACATGTTATGGAATTCCTCGAACATTTGTCTGAATACTGTGCACATGTGTAGAAGAATTGATCGTCCGAAATGTGTGGTTTTCATACAATTTGCATGCAGAAAATAGTTTTTTTTTTAAGATGTAATAATTTTTCTGATTTCGTGTCCAAACAATGTAGTTTCTCACTAGGAAAGTTCAACTTGATCAGTATTGTATATATGAAGTCATAAGAATTGTTCTACAGTCTTGAATAATTTATGAAACAAACATTTTACATATGAAAACATGATTCAAAAACAGACAATAATTTACCGCTTTTAAGCACTACTTGTATTTTAACTTGTTTTGAAGATTTGTTTTCTTAGATAAAGAAACTTGTACAGGAATTATCATATTAGATTTAGATGCTGGTAATTAATTATTTATATTTATTATATAATTAACAGATCATATGTCATTCATTTTAAATCATCCATAAAAAATACTGAACTTTATCAGTGTAGTTGTAATTGTCACATGACTTGTTGGTCGGCCTCTGTGATTACAGGATGTGCGATTGTTTTTCTATTCTACTTTTAGTGGTTATCTACGAGAATCAATATTACGTGTTTACATGTGATTTGGAAGTATACTTCTAGAGAGCTTACTATTTTTTCTTTTCCCTTGCTTACAAGTTCTTTCGATTTCTCAATATAGTCCCATCTGCATGATAGAGAAAAACAAACAATATAATACTAATATGTACAATATTATTCGAAATGAACAATAAATCTCCTAACAACGAGATGACATTCTTCATTGTCACAAAATGCAAGTATAAAAACTATAGCATAAATGTAAATGCATGTCAATATGTATTTTGTTATGATAAGATTACTGTTGATATTTGTGTGAATGCTTCTGATATGTAGTTACACAACATTAGGTTCGCCTAAAACAATTATTCAGTAATCGATTAGATGTTTAATAATATATCTTTTCCTATGACCAATAAACGCGTTATGCCATTGAATCACGTGTCTATAATTAGTATCTATGTACGCAATGATAATTGTGAATGTCCTACATACATTGTTTCCGCTTTCTCTTTCAGGTCTTCTGGATCAATTTCCAATTCCCCGGATTCTACCTCCACATTTTCAGCATCACCTGTTGCAGCCATTTAACTATAAGATAAAAAAAACAGTGCCATATTTGATTTTGTAAATTGAGATAACAATGGGAGCTGTAAGATGAATAATACATTTTGTAGTGCGTCTATGTTGACAAATGACAAGATAAATTAAAGTTACACATTGTTACACAATATCCATCAAGCATTGTATTTTTACACACATTTATAACTATGACTACTATTTTGTAATAAAAATGTGTGGCAAGAACCGTCTGCAATGAATATGACATTAGCAGTATGCAACATGTTTAGACTGACAACTTATTTGTTGAGTTTGTGTAATATATTTCTCAGTAAAAGAACAATTCACAGATCCTGGCTGGTCGCAATTTGTTACTTGTAAATTAATATTTGCTTATTACGGTTCAGAGTTCATGAAAAAACATGATTTTAATTTTACTATAAAAATAGTTTCCCACATATACAACTATGCCCGAGTGTTTCCTTATATACATATATTTCCTATCGCTTTCGCTATTTTCGGGTCTTCATTGAATATGCAAAATTGTTTTCAGCCAAACTAGTAAAGCAGGTGCCTCATGTGAAATAGAATTTGCTCACTGAAAAGCTGACAGTATATCATGTTTGTACCTGAAGGTATAGTATTATAATAACACTGCTACACAGATGGTGTCAGAAGGTCATAGTTTATTTGCGAAACAATTTATCTGTATACAAATCTGTATTTGTTCACATACCACGTGCATTATATATATTACTCGCTTACTGATTTGAATATGTAACGTTTCAGTTACTTTGTGTATTTGTTTCTTTTGTGTCCTTGTACATTTTACGATTATGTATTTGGATATCGTTTGGGTATGTTGTCATTTCTACTTGAATTCAAAAGTATCTATATATGAAATTAGTGATGTTTATTGAATGAGCTATATTTGATAACCACATACGTGTAGATTGTGGTTGTACTTGACAACCATGCCCTATTGCAATGTATTTATCTTGTTACAACTACACTTTTATTTGGTAGCATACAGTACATGGTACTATTTAATGTTTAATTAATCTGTAACGAATGAACATGTCTCAAACCTTATTTTTCTGTTTTTGTTCAATTATCACGATACTGAAATGTCACGCGATTGTTTTTTTTTACATTTTGCGTATGCGTAGACATAAACAGTACTTCCAAATCCAATTTTGAAAAGGAGTGTTTGAGTTTCTTTTTTCTACGGTTTTAAAGTTGAATTTTAACACTCGAGCGTGGCACATGAATTAAAGTATTTTGTACTGGTACACGTGTTATGCTGGTGATATCATGGCATATTACCGATAATTTTATGCATGTAGTTTAAAACCGTTAATTTTGATTTAATGACATTAATTTTATGGTCATACTATTTTAAATGTTTTTGACAACCAGAAAGCGATTATGCTATTTATTAATCCACATGTGTGAGCGTGGATGACCGACGTAAACTTTGAGTAGGCTGGCATTACCAACGTTTAATCTCGAATCTGGTTATGACATTAGCATTCATGACGGAGCATGTTATTCAAATATGACTATAGTTCACATCTTGTTATTGTTCGATTACAAACTTTCCAGTTAAGCAATCTATATATAACAATATTAAATAACATAAGTCCCGCTCGTAATCGCATTATTCGCTAGCTAGTTATAAAAATAATAACTTAGTTGAAATATTTCACATGATTCCATCATAAATGATTAACTGCATTCAAAATAAATACTCGAAATACTCAGACCATACTAATAAAATTTAGTTTTTAGATAATCATAATTTATATAAAATAAAAAAAATATATAACACGAAATCATATCATTATTGTTTTGCGCACGTCATTCACGCCAGTCATAATTTTGTCTGCTAAAATACACGTTGTTATCGACCGTCGTCTTGAGTCGGAATTAATTTATTTACATAGAAAAGAGTAAAGGTAACTAGATGATAACCGTTCTACAAACATTTATGTGTTACCTTTTCTTTGCAATATTTTTCCACAATTGAAATGTTATGTGTTACGTGTTAAATTTCACTGCGACAATAATCTGCAACTCAGAGGTCTTACGTCAATTTATTTACAGTACAGCATACTAGGGAGTTTCCTAAACACGTGTAGCAGGAATGGACCCAAATTAAAATGTCAGGTGTTTATATTTATATTTTTATACAATTACTTAACAAGTAATTCATTCATATCATATCAATTCATAAATACATTTCATACGGTGGACCACATAGACAGCGATTGACCGCCAAGCGGAAATAGATATCTATCTCCAAAAAAACAGTGGTTGTTATAATCACGTACCTGTTGGATTTTTCGTGTGGAGATACAAAACTAATAATGTTTTCAATCTTCAGGTAATAAAACCTAACTGCAGGTTGGCCTAGTAAATTGACAATATAGAAACAATGCACCTTCCGTCCGTGCATTCACAAGCTGAGCCATTTGAATACCCGTCACATACATAACTGGGTATTTTTGTCTTGGTAATAGATAATATATTAAGATATCATTCGCTGTACACTACATCACTACATTAAAAATTAATCGATGGCGGGCGCAACTTTCAAACTGCCTAAGTCATCTATTTTTCCACAATGCAAAACATTCTGCTCCTGAACCGCTGGTTGCAGTTACTTACTTTTTTTTGTAGTATGTGGTGAGTTTGTCTAATTTTGATAGAATCAATATTATGCGAATGAGTTTTCAAATAAAAACAAAGTCACGTGACAGCTTAAGTTTTCTATTGATAATATACGTGGTGCTACAAACATTTCAGAATGATCAGGCCACAAGAGTATGGATAGTATAGCACTGAAATATTCATTCAAATTTGGAACGGCCGTCAAGCAACATGACTAATACGTCTTATTATCAGATGTACTATATATTATCGGCCTCTGTCAACCTGTATATTAAAAAAGCAAAAAAAAAAAAAAAAAAAAAACATTAATAAAAATAAATGCAGCTGAAAAGTGAAAAGTAGAATTAAACGCTTTCTAAGCCGAAAGCAAAGACATTAAGCATATCAATATTCAACGCACCAGATTAAAGTGGGATTCTTAGAAAATTTGCATTGACGGCTTTAATGACTCATTGATTATTTCTCGTGTGTCATGTTCAATGAGCTACTACACACATATATTGTCTGGATCGTATTAAACTTTTGAAAATAGTGCTTAATATATTACAGTTGTGCATAACAATACATTCTCAAGACCATATATGATCATTGATTGTTGCACATGGCGTGCATATTAACTAGACTAAATGACCGTATAATGTAATCGGACAAGTCAATCTTATCTCTTGTTCATTGCTTTCGTCATAAGCTCTTATCCTTTATAGTACGCAAGATATTACAACTAAACATGTTTGAAAGATGATGACATATGTAGTAAACTGTTATGTTAGCCACATCCATTTTCTGATGCCTCCAGAAACACAGCAATGATTGGTTTTTGAGAACACTGCATTTTAGCACTGAGTGCATGTTCCTAATTGTAACAGCGTTTGAGATATTACAGTTTCACACACTAATAAAATGACATGAACTCAGCAACAATGGTTGAAATATTGCAGTTCTGTTTTTCAATATGGACACATGACCTTATATTGTGTTCTGATATATATTTCTTGTCTGGTATTTTAATGACATCACATGATCCGGGGGATCACCACATTTATTGTCAGCTACTATATTTCTCTCAAAAAAATCCGTTTAAAAATACAAATTTTGAGTGGCCACTCCATATCTTTATGTATTATGTATTCACGTTTTATTGTATTTCCAATAATGCATTGCATAATATGAAGAAACAATGCCACATAATATTCAAAAATCTTCTCAAGAACGGCTGTTTTTGTGAAGAGAAACTTGAGATATTGGTAGTGTGTTTAATAGCCAACAACCACGAGAATGGCAGCCAAAATACGTGACTTTAGAACATGGGTACACTGTGTTAATAAATGACACATGTCAAATGCAACTTCATTTTTATGAATATTGCTACACATATTCCAAAGAAAAAATGAAATCGTAAATTCCTAGATAGCAGTGTAATTGAGCACTTCCGGGTTTAGAAAAATCAAGATAGCGGTCAAACAATGTGACTGAGCAATAACTGTTTCAGACACTTTGCAGAGCGGAGCACGTAGAATGTATGCTTCATTCATAGGCCAAATGTTACGGCTGGTTTTTTAGAGTAAGTTTACAAAAACGAAGGAAAAATAAGATATAATATACTTCCAAGTAGAACAGGCATAGAAGGCCTTATTATAGATGATTGAAATGTGCAGTTTATACATTTCGCATTTAGTCATGAATGATTTGGGTTGTACTTTATCAATGAGATATCACAACCATATATACTTTTACAGCGCCCGAGATTTTACAGATATTCATGTTCAAGAGATATCCTAACCACATTTTTGTAATCTGTTATGCTGTGTTATATCTTGTTCTTTGCCACCATTATAATGATGGCTCCAATGCCCCGAATGCTCGACTGCAATTAAGTACAATTCAAATATCGTGATAATAAGGATCTGCATCTTACAATCTTTGTCTCTATTCCAAAGACTAACTAGCTCCATTCAATTACATTTCTCCCTGTTCATCAGCAGACAAGTGTTTTGTGTTTGTTTGTCACTGTGGTCTTCTCCACGTTTACTAACAATATCACTCACTTATCATATTAACTGGGGAGTTCATATTGACATTCATACAATATTGTTACTTGAAGCGCGGCAGTTGTCGCGCTGCGCATGTGCGACATTTGTGTATATAAACATTGATTTACCCACAATCCTATGCGTTCTTCAAATGGAAATCACAAGTATCAGGTTTGACGTGGGCGCGACTTGCACTGATTACCGACGGTGATTCCTCCGATACCTTCCATTCACATAAAAATTGCCTAATTAAAGCTTGGAAACGTCTCAGTTGGTACTCGTTGATCTGTGCAACAGTCAAGTTCGCCATCTTTGTTTATATG